ATAGGTGAACTATAAATCCCAGCAACTACAACTCCCAAATTACAAAATCAATCCTCCCCCAACCCCACTAGCATTCACATTTGGGCGTATTGGGTATTTGTGCCCAGTTTGGTCCAGTGAATGTAAATGCATCCTGCATATCAGATATTTACATTATGTTATAACAGTAGTAAAATGACTGTTATGAAGTAGCAACGAAAACAATATTATGGTTGGGGGTCACCACAACATGAGGGACTGGATTAAGGGGTCACGGCATTAGGAAGGTTGAGAACCACTGTAATAGAATAATGCAGTTCCAAAGCCAATGGTTGGAGTGGTGACTCCATGTGCGCAGGGGTGGCTCGTCCATTATGCGAAGTAAGCGGTCGCAGAACACTTTTTCTTGCCAGGGGCACAGAGGGGCCTCTGTAAATGTCCCTCGACCGCCACTTGAGGAGCACCCCCTCAGCTCACAACAGCCCTAGCAGTCCGGGGGGAGCCTCGGCTTTCTTACCTCGCTGCTGGGCGATCCTCTTCCCAAAGGGGCCGGACCCTTGAGCCTCGCCTAGCCCCTCTCATTCCTGCTCCACCTCGGATGCATGAGCAGAGCCGGTGCTCAATCGTTCTCCGCGTTCGATCCCATCCCCATGACCAGCTCCCTTTCCCGATCCCCCAGTGCTCCACCTGCCTCCTCTCCTCTCCCCAATCCACGGGTGGGCCAAGGGGCGGAGCCGCTGCGCCTGGCCCGCTTCGGGTCCGGAGGCATGTCTGAAGACCCCAGCGTGCACACCAAAAGTCGCCTCTTCTCCTGACTTTCTCTTCAGCCATTGGGACCAAGAGAGAGAGAGAGAGAGAGAGAGAGAGAGAGCCCCTCTGGCTGGAGGTATCTCCCACCTCCGCTCCCTCCTTTGTTTTTGCGCCTACCTTCAGGAAAGGTGGGCATCTCCACCTCTGTCTCTCTCTCTCTTGGTCCCAATGGCCGAGGAGAAAGTCAGGAGAAGAGGTGACTTTTGGTGCACACGCCGGGGTCTTCAGGCACGCCTCCGGACCCAAAGCGGGCCAGGCAAGGGAGCAAGTGCGGCAAGTGTAGTTACTGGGATGTATAGTTCACCTACAATCAAAGAGCATTCTGAACTCCACCAATGATGGAATTGAACCAAATATGGCACACAGAACTCCCATGACAAACAGAAAATATATATCAATGATTGGTTGGGGGCGCCAAAATACTGTTTGCTTACCGTTGAAAATTACCTAGGGCCGCCTCTGCATGTGCGTGACTTCAGATGTGCTTAACTGTCTACTTTGACAGCACAGAGGAACATAGAAGGCTATGAGCAGCTGCTTTCTAGAGAGCTTTTTCCACCATGGCTGACTTTCTCATCATATCATGAAGCTCAAAGGAAAGCTCAGGTGCCCTGAAATGCAATCTGAAATCTACTGCCTTAAAGTAGGATTCAAGAACTATGTGCAAATTTAAGTTTGAAAGGGCCAGAGCCAGACAGACTCATATAAGTTGGTTTTATCCAACTTACCTGGCAAGCAGCATCAGGAAATCAGATTTGGAGATGAAGAATTTGCTAGCTCATAACACACACACACACAGAGAGAGAGAGAGAGAGATACATGATACACAAACTTGTCCTGTGTGCTCCATTCCTAGGAGATAGGATAAGCCACAGGGGGGCTGAAAGTGCTCCATCGCCTTTGTTTATTCAGTTAATCTATTCCTTCTCAGTGTGCCTGATATTTATGAGTTATTTATAGGTTTGCAATGAACCCTACTGGGAGAGAATTAGGTCAGAATTCTAATTCCTTTGTTAAGATGGATGGCTTATTATCCTTTTCTACTGTGATATATTACGCTAGCTTGGGCACTCGGCTATGCAAGGTTGGAGAGCTCAATATTTATGTTTTTAAGAAGCAACTGATTCCCTCTGTTAATACAGGAGCTCTTAACCTAGCCATGGTTGATTTTACATGGTATATAACTCTGATCTGCAATTGAATCCCTACCCTGTGGTGGAGGTCATATGTCTAACAAGTTAGCGCAGTACAGTTGGTGTGGAAGCTGGCTTGCTTCTAATTGGCTTTGGAGGCTGTTTTTCTTTTCTCTCTTCTTGGTACTTGGAGTGATTTTTGAGATGATGGGGGTTTGATACTGGTTTTGTACTGTAAGCTCTTGTCTTTGTCTGCTTTTGTTGAGTAATTGTAATTGGTGGTTTAAAATTCCTTCTGGTTGAACTCTTGGTCCTTGTTTGAGAATCAGGGAGATTCACGTTGACCTAGGGCACATCTATCCTGCAAAATTAACACAGTTTGATACCACTTTAACTGCAATGGCTCGTTGCTTTGGAAATCCTGGGAGTTGTAGTTTGCAGAGAAGGCTGAAAACCTTGTGAAATCTCAACTCCCATTTCATGATAACGTTGAGCTATGATTCCAACGCTCAATGTTGAGCCTTACTCTGTGAGGAGGGGTCACAACTGGCTTTCTAGAGAATTTAGAACTTGAAAAAAAATACTTTGTTGGACCACTTCTCAAAGAATCAAAGAATCAAAGAGTTGGAAGAGACCTCATGGGCCATCCAGTCCAACTCCCTGCCAAGAAGCAGGAATATAGCATCCAAATCACCCCTGACAGATGGCCACCCAGTCTCTGTTTAAAAGCTTCCAAAGAAGGAGCCTCCACCACACTCCGGGGCAGAGAGTTCCACTGCAGAACGGCTCTCACAGCCAGGAAGTTCTTCCTCATGTTCAGATAAAATCTCCTTTCTTGTAGTTTGAAGCCATTGTTCCGCATCCTAGGTTGGATCTACACTGTCCTTCTATCCCAAGATCTGATCCCTGATTATCTGCTTTAAACTGGATTATCAGATAATCTGGAATAAACCACTAACACAGAATCAGATACTGGGTATAGGGCAGTGTGGATCCAGCCTTAGAATGCACCATCAACCCCAAACCAACATTATCAAAGACATATACTAATGGAAGGCCTACTATTAATTTCAACCGCATGAGATCTAATCAAGCATGTAAGTGTTTATGTCCCTGGTTATCATCATCATTCATGGAGCCATTGGTGGTGCATTGAGTTAAACTCTTGTACCGGCAGGACTGAAGACCGACAAGTCGCAGGTTTGAATCTGGGGAGAGCGTGAATGAGCGCTCTCTATCAGCTCCAGCTCCCCATGTGGGGATATGAGAGATGCCTCCCATAAGGATAGGAAAACATCTAAATATCCAGGCAATGTCCCCTGGGCAATGTTCTTGCAGACAGCCAATTCTCTCATAGCAGAAGTGACATGCAGCTTCTCAAGTCACTCCTGACACGAAAAAAAAATAACATGCTGGGTTAATTCTCATTGGGACTAACCATTATGATGGCTGTCCTCAAAGTTTGTGACTTCCTCCCTGGAAAGGCCAGGAATGCTGTTTCCTCTGCAGAAAATTCTTTTTTTCTGCTGAAAAGATCCATATGAGAATTCTGCACAGAACAGGCCCTAAAATCTGAACAGTATTCTAAAACTGAGTGGTTTTCTCGTAGCAGGAGGAAAACAGGTAGTTGTGTATTTGTTCCCTTGAAAAGATACTTAATGAAAAGAAAACATCCCTACTTAGCAGTTTCTGGAAGAACTTCCTATTAGCCATGCCAAATATTATTACGTTGAAGCAACCAAAACCAAAGCAAAGCCGTGTTAGATTCCTTCCCCATCAAGATCAAGCAGGTTTCATTCGATCTCTACTCTCAGAAGTTTTGCTTGAGGAGGAATAACCAAATCATCCAAGAATCTTGCTTTAGGTAAATTATATTGGTGGCCACTCTTTAGATGGTTGTTGTTGTTGTTGTTCATTCATTCAGTCGTCTCCGACTCTTCGTGACCTCATGGACCAGTCCACGCCAGAGCTCCCTGTCAGCCGTCACCACCCCCAGCTCCTTCAAAGTCAGTCCAGTCACTTCAAGGATGCCATCCATCCATCTTGCCCTTGGTCGGCCACTTTAGATGGTAGGCTGTATTAAACTCTTTCTCTGCTTTCTGCTTTTGGCAAGATGTTTACAATCAAACTGGTTGACTTTGGGAGGCACCCAACTGCACCCAACAGTTACACAAATCTAGGTTTCCCCCTTCCTTGTCATTTGAGTCAGAATGACTAGTGATCAAAAATAGATTCCTTTGGGGACCAGAATGAAAATGTAATACTTATCTCATATGGCTTTTCCACATCAAAACCCAGACTGTAGGTAGGATCTGAATGTTAATTGTGTTTTGAGCATCACAGGAAGTCCACCGGAGTCAACTTGCTAGCTTCACTCCATTATTTACAAGCCGAGGCTTCATGCAATTAAAATTGGAGTTCTTTCCACATACATTTTTTAGGACTGGTGGAGAAGATGGCCTTAGGTGTTTGTTTGTTTTTACAAAAGTGCCCCTTACACAGTTTGGCTGGAGCTGATCCATAATTGCTACTGTGACATCTAAAAGTAACCCAAGGGGATAAATCAGATCAGAATCTGCTGTGAGGAAGAGTTGTGTTTGCAATGGCCTCTCTCTTCCCATTTCCTCTCCTAACGATCTGTTTGTGCAACTTCGTTGACAGCTATGGCCTATCCCGCAAATGTATTTTGTGGTTCAAGATGTTCCCCTTAAGTGTAATTATTATGCCTGAAAGAGAGAAGAGGAAAAACCTTATTCTAAGCCAATATTCGCTTCATTAGCATCAAATTGTGTGGGGTTTTTTGTTTGTTTGGCTCCTTCTTCCCTTCTTGCATCCTCCAGCAAATCTGGCAATACAGTTGCAAAAGTCTTCTCCCCATTTTTGTTTTGATTGCTGAGGTTTGCAATCATCTTGTCTATAAACATGAACTCAACCGACTCAACCTCTAACCTTGCCAGGGGGTTCTTATAGCAGGAAAACTGCTGATAACCAAGCCTTCTTCTTCCTCGTCTTTTTCTGTTTGATGTTCTGGCAACAATCTCATTCACGTGGCGTTCTCTTTCCTTTGCTTCTACACAGCTCCAGGTGGAGATCACGGATGGCAGCGGGAAGAGCATAGAAGGCCCTGTCCCTCTCGATATTATCATTATTGACCAGAACGACAACCGGCCACTTTTCCGGGAAGGTCCGTACATTGGGCACGTCATGGAGGGGTCTCCTACAGGTAAGGCAATTCCAGATAATTCTAGGGCTGATATAGATTCATTCCTAGTGATTTGCATATGTCTTCATCTCTTGGACAATGGGTGGGATGATTGACTGTGATGTCCATTTTTAATACGTATTTTGTATGTATCTTAATCTGTGGTTGTTTAAATCTTTGTAAATCACTGCCAGACCAAGTACTGTGAAAACGAGTAAAAAATAATACCTTATATACTCACTAGAGCTGTGCAATCAATGAAAAAAAAGTTTTGATACTCATTATGAAAGGGGTTGGGGAAGAATCATATCGAAAGTGTTTATGAAATTGAATGGGGTCTGTATAATGAGGTAACTACTAGGCTTGGGCGGTTTCATTCATTAATTTCGTAATTCGTTATTAATTCGTATTTAAATTAGCTTACGATCCAATATTGAGCCATGCAGGAATAGTGTGAGGAGTAAATTAGATTCGAAACAATTTTTTCAATTTATTTTGTAATTATTTTGTAATTATTTCGTAATTATTTTGTAATTATTTTGTAATTATTTTGTAATTATTTTCTCATGTCTGGTGCAACTTTTATAGTTGTTGTTTGTTTTATCACACCAACAGTCAACAACAGAGGGAGAGCTTCAGAAGTTCCCCCTGTCCCATTTGGAGGTTTTTTTAGCATATTGCGCAATCGCGTCCGCCATTAACGAATCGATTCGTAATTATACGAAATTTCGTATATTTCGAAATTTTTAAAAGGAAAATTTCAGAATTATTAAAAAAAACGAAACGCAAGGGCCCCCTAAAAACAAAACGAGTTTAGAACCAAATTTTTCCGTGGTTACCCAAGCCTAGTAACTACTTTTTTGTTACTTTTCATTAGGTAATTGTGTCAATAGGAAAAATTCAGGGCTTCCAATCTCCATCATTTTAGAGTATTTGGACTGAAACGTGCTACAACGGTAGAACACATTGGCCACTGTTAGCCCATCAAGGTTCAAAACATTTGACTCATCCACTGATTTTGAGGGAATTTCCAAAGATTTTACAAACAACGTTTTTAAAGAAAAAAATACAATATCTATCTGCTTGAACTTTCTGTACAATGACACAAGATTGCAGGAGATCATCCCTCCCAAGTTTCCGAAACATTCATGTCAATGTGAGTAGTGAGTACTGTTTTTATTTATTTTATTTGTTTAGAGCATTTGTATCCCGTTCGCAACCCCCGAAGGTACTTAAATCTTATCAAAAAAGGAATGGTCTTTGTGTAGAATGGCAAAAGCCAAGAGCTTAGCCCATTCTGGAGAACCCAAGAGCAGCATTGACCCCCATCTACGCTCTGTGCTGTGGCTCCAACTCTGGCTTTTTTGAATGACATTGGTGTTTTTCTCTTGATATATCCAGACTTTTCAAAATCCATAACTTTGGCTCCAAAACTTGCCCTCAACTTATAACCTCATGTATGGTTTTAAGGCCAAAATTATGGATGTTGATAAGTTTGGATATATCCACTTCTACATGAGTATATGCCAGGCATGGGCGAACTTTGGCCCTCTAGATGTTTTGGACTTCCACAGTTCCTAGCAGCCTCAGGCCCTTCCTTGTCCCCCTCAGTCAGTTAAGCGGCTGATGTGCTGGTACAACTGTTCCAGGAGCTCCAATTTTGTTTGCTTTGCATTTAATGTTTGTTATAGTCCTAAGTTTCAGGGACTCAGAAGATAGGTGGCTTCTTTTGGCTGCAATCATAGGGCAAGCCACCTGTCAATTATCATTAGGTTATTTGGTCCCACCCCTTTTTGAGTGTTGGAGGGAATAGGAGGCTTTTTGAGTCAGTTCTCACAGAGAAGCCTTTCGCACAGGATGTAAAACGAAGGGCAACCTGTAGAAAGCTTCGTCTTCTACAGCTTGGCAGGGGAGATATACAGCCTACAGCCTACAGCTTGGCCAGGGAGAAAAGGCCCCACAGCTTGGCTGTGGATTTTGCAGCCTTACATCTCCTTTGCTGAGGGACTTCAGCCAGCAATCACAGCAACCTGAACTCCTTCTTTTTCCCTGGAAGTCTACAAAGCTCTGCTTGGTAAGGGTCTCTCGCGGAAGCCGGACGCAGTTGGTACCGGGCGCAGGGGCTCCACGCCAACAGAGGCAAGTACAGACTGCCCAGATTAGAAGTTAAGGATTTCCCCATTAGTTATTATATAGTTATGAAGATAGTGCCTGTTCCCAGAGAACAAGATTGCAAGAGCCAATAGACTGTTAAGAAAGCTTTAAAGTACCTGTTTGTTTTCATCAATAAAGAACTTTCTTGGACTTACTTTTAGCCTCTACAGAACTTTGTTTTGGGGAGGTCCAAGGACCTTTAAACTGAGGCAGCCCCAGCGTCCCGTTGGGCACACAGAATTTATGTCCTGTCTACAGTCTTATGCACAGGCCCAGCGTGCGACAGCACAGCTGAGGTGGGAAAGGAAAGGGCCTGAGGCTGTTAGGAATTGCAGGAGCTGGAGTCCAAAGCACCTGGAGGGAGGGAGGGAGGGAGGGCCCAAGTTGGCCCATGCCTGTGCTATGAGACTGTTATCCACATACTGAAGGAATTGCGGGAGTTGAAGTCCAAAACGGTAATACTAATAAACTGTGCTGCACTAAATTACTAAAATAAATGGTTATCGTATTGGCTATCATAGCTTTTAAATTCCATGCTCCCCCCCCCCCCCCCCCCCCCCCGTTTTCCCCCCAACAACAAGAAGTGCTTTACAGGAAATCCATTTTTAGCAGGACAGATGTTCTGGCACTTTTTGCTGCCTTATGAAATGACTTTTAGTCCCTGGTGATCAGAGGTCTGGGCTCCTTAATGATAGGGAGAAGCCATAAAAGTTTGCTGAATACTGCGGAAACCCGCCGTGCAAAAGCAAAGAGGGCTCCCTCCCATTAATCAAGGTGACACCCCCCTCCAATAAAGAAGAAAAGAAAAAGTTTAGAAGTGAATGATACAGACTATTGCTGCCACCTTGGGCCCAAGGAATGGAGGCAAGGAAAATAATTGGAGGTGGCAGAATTTTTCTTGGTGGAGGAAACACCCTCATTTTCTAGTGTCAGTCCAGTGACGACATCCCAGGAAGCAAAGTGGAAGGTGTATCTAGAACACAACACATACAACAGGTAGCAAAATTGTTGTTTTTCAGCAAGAGCCCTTGCTCAAGCGGGAATGCCTTTTAAAATGCATGGCTCACTGGTTCATTTTTATGGGCAGGTTTAGCCCAAAGCCAGAAAATAATAGCCTTGTGTCTAGCATACTCAGCTGCATCGCGACTTACGTTCTCAATTGCACTTCTGCTGGCTCATTATTTTGGGCAACTGGCACAAGTCTAAGGGTGCATCTACAATTCAGAATGAATACCATTTGACACCACTTTCACTGCCACGGCTCTAAACTATTTATTTATTTATTTATTTATTTCTCGCACTTCTACCCCGCCCTTCTCAACCCCCGAGGGGGGACTCAGGGCGGCTTACAAAAAGGCACAATTTGATGCCGGCACAACAACAAGGTAAAACAAATTCAACATATAAACAGTAATTAACCAGTTAAACAATTAAAACAATTAAACAGCCCATTATATATCACAGTCCCTAAAAACAATCTAGTGCTCAACGTTTATCAGCTCAAAGTCCATAAATTCAAAATCCACATTGTCGAATCCAACAATTCTAGTCTTCGCTTGTGCCTTATCTATCCGCCAGATTACCCGAAGGCCTGGTCCCAAATCCATGTTTTTTAATTTCCTTCTAAAGGAAAGGAGGGATGTTGATGACCTAATTTCCCCAGGGAGTGAGTTCCACAGGTGAGGGGCCACCACTGAGAAGGCCCTGCTCCTCGTCCCCACCAATCTCACTTGTGATAGAGGTGGGGCCGAGAGCAGGGCCTCCCCAGAAGATCTTAGACACTGAGGCGGGACGTAGAAGGAGATGCATTCGGACAGGTACGCTGGGCCGGAACCGTATAGGGTTTTGTAGGTCAAAACCAGCACTTTGAATTGTGCTTGGAACTGGATCGGCAGCTAGTGGAGCTGACATAACAGCTGACATACTGCACATATCTTATTTGTAATGCAAGAAAAGAAAACCCATGAAAGAACAATACAATATTTAAAGTGATGAACAATTCTAACCAACATAAACTTACCAGGATTTCAAGGGAAAGTGTGTGCTTGCTTTTAGCTGATGAGAGAGTCAAGTTCATTAGGATTGCATCCAACCTGTGGGCCTCAGTTTGGGGACCCCTGCCTTTGAGTGAACAAATGTTGGAATGACTTGAAGGTTCACAGCAATGAAGATAAATCCCAATTAAGGTGCTAGAATCAATGCAATTGGGCACCATTTTAGCAGCCCTGACTCAATGTTATAGGGCCCATCTAGACAGGCTTTTAAAGCGAGACCTGTCTCAGTTTTACTGAAGGTGTGAAAATGAGGCCCCTGGTAAACGTGAATTAATTTGAAAAAAGAAGGGTTCCAGGCCTCCATGATTCCTGAGAGGACATGACATTTCCCTGCCTTGTTCCAAATTAATTAGATCATCATCATCATCATCATCATCATCATCATCATCATCATCATTTAATAACTTATTAATCGCCCTCCATCCAAGAATGCTCTAGGCGATTTACAGATAAATTATAAAAGATAAAATACATACATAAAAAAATTAAAAATTAACAGAGATCGAATGCTCTAGTAAAAAGCCAGGTCTTAAGTGCTAGAGTAAAAGGCCCTAAGTCACGCATGGCTCTCATGTAGGGCGGCAAGGAATTCCACAAGGCAGGGGCAGAAACAGAAAAAGCTCTGCGTCTGGTCCTTTCCAGGTGCACTTCTCTAGGACCCAGTATATGGAGTAAGTCACGTTGGGCTGGTCGTTGCGACCTCCGATGATGGGAGAAGGAGAGGCAGTCCCTAAGGTACGATGGACCCTGGCCGTAAAGAGTTTTAAAGGTCAGAACTAGCATCTTATACAGGCCATGGTACTCAGTTGGAAG